CCCCCCCCACCTTCCTCCTCCTCCTCCTCCCTTTTCCTCCACCCTTCCTCTTCCTCCTCCGGCTTCCTCCTCCTCCTCCCGCTTCCTCCTCCTTTCTCCCTCCTCCTCCCTCTTCCTCCTCCCTCTTCCTCCTCCTTCCTCCCTCCTCCTCCCCCCCGCCTTCTTCCTCCTCCCTTCCTCTTCCTCCTCCCTCTTCCTCCTCCTTTCTCCCTTTTCTTCCCTCCTCCCCCCGCCTTCCTCCTTCTCCTCCCTTCTCCTCCTCCCTCCTCCTCCCCCTGCCTTCCTCCTCCTCCTCCCTTCCTCTTCCTCCTCCCGCTTCCTCCTCCTTTCTCCTTCCTCCTTCCCCCTTCCTCTTCTTCCCTTCTTCCTCCTCCCTCTTCCTCCTCCCTCCTCCTCCTCCTCCCTCTTCCTCCTCCCTCCCACTTCCTCCTTGGCCTTGGGTAAGTCATTTAACCACTCTCAGACTATTTCCTCTTCTCAAATGATGAGAATGAGGCGTATACCACATTACTGGTGGTGGTGTGAGAATCACTGACAAAATATATAAGGTGTTTTGTAAATCATAAAGTCCTATATAAATCAACCGCAGGTATTTTTACCAGAAATAAAACTTTTTATCTAAAAGGCACAGCTGCTGTACCAACACTAGGCATGGTAGCACATCCTCTGATCTCACCTACAGAGGAGGGTAGTATCTCGTGAACTGTGGTGTTCTGAACTGTGTTAGCTTGTTCTGATTGGGGTCACTCACTAAGTTCAGTATTAGTACAGTAAGCCCCTGGGTGAGAGGATGATGGCCAGATTGCCTCGAAGGACAAACTGATGCAGGTTAGAAATGGAGCAGGTCAAAACTCCCGTGCACTTCAGCCCGGATGAGGTGAGGAAAGACAGTCTTCAAAACAATAATAACAACAACATAGGTTTAGTCCAGAGAAGACTCCTTCGGAGTTCGATCTTTATGTAGAATTTAATGGGAAAGAAAGAAAAAGCAGGTTGGAAGAGTGGTCTTACAGTGGTGCAGTGTTATCTTTAAAACCTAAAGCACCAGTAAGAAATATAGCAAAGATCCTAGACAGAACTGTGCTGAAAGTAGCAAGATGAGGGGAGCCTGGTGAGAACCGAATAAATACACTAATATATCTCAGATTATCACAGTAGAGTTCCTAAGGAGAATAAGGGAGACAGAAGATTCAGAGAGAGGCTGGTGGATGCAAAACCTCATACCACGGTACTTCTCACCTAATGTACTTCATACAAAGGAGAAATTTTATGGGCAGGGGTTCTCTGGAGGACTCCAAAATGCTAAATGTTACAGCCGAGACCCGTTTTGTTGCTTTTGATAGAAGAAAAGGACGAGTAAAAGAAGGGAATCCAACTTGGTAAAACATCACCAGTATTAGGACATATGTTAACAGAAACGACTAGATAGTGGAAAAGAACACCAAAAAAACCAAACCCAAAAACCATCAGATCCAGTGACATGTTGGAAGGGCTGTGGGAAAACAGGCTCATGAGTGTGCCATGGGTGGGGCTGTGAACTGGTCCAGCCATCCTAGAAAGCAATCTGGCATTATGCCTTCTAAGTCATTAAGACTGCATACTCTTTGACCCAGCAACAGCTGCTAGGCTTGTACCCCAAAGGGATCAAAGAAAAAAAGACCCTAAACGAAGGAGCTTTTTTTGTAATGGCAAAGAATTAGAAACTAAGGAGATTCCAGTCACTTGGGGGCTGAACAACTTGTGTTAAATGATGAAACATGCAACCCACCTTCAGATAGATGTTAGACTCAGAGTGCATGCTGAGGCTTTGAACATGGTGGATGCAAGAATGTGTTTTGCTTGACTGTACATGTATGTAACAAGTTTTGTTTTTCTTGCCTTCTCAAGATGTGTATGGGGGGGAGGGATGAGATAGGGAGAAAATGTGAACCTAAGAATAAAATTGAATAAAAAATTAAAACAAAGGATGGTGTAAAATGTATGGAATATTATTGTGCTGTGAGAAATGCTGAAAGGATTGATTTCAGAGAAACCTGGGAGGGCTTGTATCAACTGATGCCAAATGAAATGAGCAGAACCAGGAGAAGAATTGCCACAACAACATTGTAAAGACAAACAATCCCGAAAGCCTTCAGGACTGTGGTCAACACAATGACCAGCCACAGTTCTCCTGCCACAGAGGGGATGGATGAATGCAGCCAATATGGGACTTTGATCTTGCTTGACTCTGCTTATTTGTTAGGGAGATTTCTTTCTCCCAGTGAGAGTGAGTTGGTTAGTGGGAGGGAGGCAAAAAAAAAAAAAAAAACAACCAAATGCTTGATAATTGAAAACATTTAATTAAAAATAAAACCTGAAGTCCTAATTCTACAACTTCTTGTGTGACCAGGGACAAATCATTTCTGTTTTTGTCAGCTCCCATGTCTTCATCTGTGGTTCCAGGATCACATACAAAATGCTCTGTTTGGAGTTCAGAGCTCTTTGTAATCTAGCCTCCTTCTCCCTTCTTCTGTCTTCTCCCTCTCTTCTTACGCCTTACTCCTCAACATGCTTTCTTCAACCCAATAACACCAGCCTCCTAGCTGTTTCACAAACAAGACCGTCCATCTCTCAGCTCCCAGCATTTTCTCTGGCCGTCCCCCATACCTAGAATGTTCTCCCTCCTCCATGCTAACTACTGACCACCCTGGCTTCCTTTAAGTCTTAACTAAAATCTCACCTCCTACAGGAAGCCTTCCCTCTGGTAGTCATTTCCTATTTATCTTGTATGTAGCTTGTTTGTGTATGTTTTTTGCATGTTGTCTCCACCATTAGATTGTGAGCTTCTTGAGGGCAGGGAATGTCTTTTGTCTCCTTTTGATCCTTAGTGCTTGGCAAGGTGCCTGACGCATGGTAGGCACTTGATGTTTATTGACTGATCTGTAAAATGTTTATAATACTTGTCTAATAAAGCTATTGTGAGGATCAGATAAGGTAATGGATTTAAAGTGCTCTCTAAATGTCATTTATTTAGTATTATCACTCTTATACTCTACTTCATACTATTTTTTTTTTTTGATATTTCTAGTTTATGGACATAGGGGAACCATCCCAGAAGTTAAATCAGAGACGGTCTGGCCATATGTTTGCTGTCATAATGTAAATGGTGTAGAGGAAGATGGTGCTAAGGCACAGCATGAGTGAAGGAAAGTACGGGATTTGGAGTCAGAAGACCTAGATTTGGTCCCTGCTCTTCTACTCACTTCTTATGTGACCTCAAGCAAGTCCGTAACCTCTTTGTGCCTCATTTTCTGGATAGGTGACAAGAAAATTGGGTTAGGTGATCTCTAAAGGTCCAGCCACTTCTCAATCCTATGAGGGAAGAAAGCAAGCATTTATATAGTACCTGCTATGTGCCAGTCACTGTGTGCTTTACAAATATTTGATCTTCACAGTAACTTGTGAGGTCGGTGTTATTATCATCCTTATTTTACAGATGAGGAAACTGAGGCTGAGTGAGGTTAAATGACTTGATACAGCTATTGAGTGTCCCAAGGTCTGCATTTGAACTCACGTCTTCCTGACTACAGGCCCAGCACTATTGCACC